GAGTCCAGAAATAGACCATTGGATTTTTTATGATCATTTGATTTTTTAGTAGAGATGCAGGAGCACTCCAACGGGGAAAGGGATGTCTTTTCAGCAGGTAGTGCTGGAGCAACTGGCTGTCCATACCAGAAAAAAAAAAGAACCTTGACCCTGCCTCACACCATACATAAAAATTAATTCAAGATGAATCATAAGCCTAAATGTCAATGCAAAAAATACAAAGCTTTAGAAGAAAACATAGGAGAACATCTTGGCAATCTGGAGATAGGGAAAGGTTTTTTAGGGTACAGAAAGCAATACCATTAAAGGAAACCAAGGGATAAATTGGAGTTTGTTAAAATTTAGCTCTTTACAAGATCATTAAAAAACGAAAAATCATAGAGAAGACCATCGACACACGTTATAGAGAAAATAGAAAATCATGTATCTAACAAAGGACTTGTATCCAGAATAAAGAACTCATATAAATCAATAATAATTTAAAAATGAGGAGAAGATTTTGATGCTTCACAAAGACAGGCATACAAATAACCAGTATACTCATGAAAAGTGCTCAGCGTGATTAGTCACCAGAGAGGTGCAAAATAAAGCCACAGTGAGATACCACTACCCACCTAGCAAAATAGCCAAAATGGAAAACTGACGCCACCAGATGTTGTCGATGTTGTGGAGCGGGCCTGACTCGGCAGTGGTGCACGTGAGCTTTGTGTGGTGATTGGCTTCCACAGGTGCGTGCACTTGACAAACTCCCAGAAGGATTCACTGAAAAGATGTGTGCGATTCACTGTAAATGCCCGCTACAGAAATGAAAGCCACTTTTCCACTCTGGTTAATGATAATGCGTGCTGAAGTCTGCTGGGGTCTGACCTGTGAAATGAATCAAAAATACGGAATTGATGGATGGATAAATGATACGTGATAAAATAAACACAGCAAATTGCTGACAGAATCTAGATGATGAGCATGTGGGTTGTTCTTTGAACAGTTCTTTAAAGCTTTTCTGTATGTTTGAAACGTTCCTTTATAATATCTTGGGAAAATGTCCCTTGGAATAATTCTTTTCTGAGTGGTTATGTTATTGACTTGATACACAGTTGATTTATTGTTTCAACTTTGTGGTTTGCTTTTTCCTTTTTTTATTTTTTATTTTTGAATATGGTGTATATATGGATCTGCATCTTGTTCTTAGGTTTTTTTTCAGTTAATATATCCGGGAGATCACTCCACATCAGCCCCGAGAGCTTCCTGTTTTTAATGATGGCATGGAGTTCTTTCTTCTTCTTTTTGTTCCAGCTGCACAGACCCCCATATACAGATGTGCTCTGGTTTAGTTGAGCAGTTCCCTGTGGCCGGACAGTTGGGTTATTTTCAGTCTTTTCCTGTTACCAACAATGCCACACTGAGAAACCTTGCACGTGTGTTATTAGTATTTGTAGCTAATCCATTTTAATCTCCAAACTCTTTTATTGTCTGTTTCTTTCTTGTTTATGGCTGTTTTATCTTCTAGAACTTCTCTGAGAGTATTGTCTGTTTCCCCTAGGGACAGAATTGGTCTCTCATGTTGCTGCTTCTCTTCCCCTGCCCCTGGAGAGCCATTCCCGTTGGGGAGAGGAGGCTTGGGTGGCTGGCAGGCTGCCCCCGTTCCACTGTGCTGGAGTGGCCCTTTTCCTGCTGGGTCTTTCCCGAGGGACGATGTGGAGTAGGAGCTCTGTGTTGTGCTGTAGACCCTCAGAGGCCAGAAAGAGGTGGGCTTCTCCTGAGCAGCCACATCAGAAGCTTGGGCGGGTCGGGGAAGGCTCCAGGTATTTAGAAAAGTTCTTTTGGTTTCTAGCGCGAGGGTATGTGATGAGGTGTCTCCAGGCACAACCATTCCGAAACTTTCCCGTAGCCTCCCCGCTCCATCCCCACCCCCGTTTAGTCTCTTTTCTCCTTTCCGTAGACTGTAGCACCTTGCCACTTGAAGCGGTCCACGGACCAGCCCTGCGACATCAGCCTCACCTGGGAGCTTGCCGGCCATACAGAATCTCGGGCCGCCCCAAACCTCCTGGATCAGATCTGGAGTTGAACAAGACCCCAGGTGATTCGTGTGTGCTGGAAAGTTTGAGGGGCGCTGCTTGCCCTGATCTGATCTGATCTGATCCAGAAGCCTTTTCTGGGGTTCTGAGAGGCACACAGTCTCCCCCTCCTCTGTGTCTCCCTTGTAGTTCATTCTGCCCTGTTTCAATTGTCAGCACTTTCCGGCTACTTCCCATCTAGGAATTTGTTAAAAAACATCCCATCATTTGTAAGTTCCCGCCTGCTGTCGTCCTGCTAGTGGTTTCTTCTTTTGTCCTTTGATACTTTAGCTTCATTGAGCCTCTAGGGGCAGGTGGCCAATGCATGTACACAGCAGACTGACCTCCGTTGGAGGATCTGAAGCAGGCAGTAACACTGTAAGTTTACGTCAAAAAGCTGGCAGCTGCCTTGGCTATAAGATGGTGAAAATCATCGCAGGTGATGGGGAGCAGTGGGTGGGTGAGTGTGATGGAGACCAGGGCGATGGGCATGGGGCTAGGGAAGGGTCTCTTCTGGGTGGTGGATAGGAGGGCATGTTTGCACCTGCAGGGGCACGGCCCAGTAAAGAGGCCACGTGATCAGGAGGAGAGACCACAGACCTGGAGGAGCAGAGTCCTTGCACAGAGAGAGGAGATGGCACCCAGAGCCTCTGGCAGCACGGGGTGGGCTCTGGGGAGACCGGGAGGATGGAATGTTAGAGCGCACGGAGAAGCTGTATTTGTTTCCTGTGTCTACTTCAACAGAATACCACACGCTGAGTGGCTTCTGAGAACAGAAATGGATTCTCACAGTTCTGGAGTCCAGAAGTCAGAAATGAAGGCATCGGCAGGGCTGTGCTCTCTCTGAAGGCTCTAGGGGAGGATCCTTCCTTGTCTCTTCTGGGTTCTGGTGGTCCCAGGTGTTCTTGGCTTGCGGTGACATCGTTCCCATCTCTGCCGCTATCTGTCCAGTTGTGGCCATAAAATCAAGTGTCACTTTCAGTCCCTTCTCTTGCTTGTTCTAGGACTTTCCACAGAAGTCATACATTACCAAGTGAAAGTACTTAGATGATACACTTAAAGTTAACTTTCTAAAGATGCATATGCTCTGACCAATAGCATCTCTTTTTATTCTTTCTCAGAGTTCAGCAAGTTTGGCCAGGGCTGGTGCTGGCTCCGGAAAATGGAGGTTTTATCTCGTCATCTTTTCAGTTACTGCCAAAGCAGTGGTGGTTGTTAGCGACCCTATATGTGCAACAGAATGAAACGCTGCCCGGTCCTGCGCTCAAGTACACTCGCCTGTATCCTTTCCCTCCAGCACCCAAACTTCAGCAATCCTTTGACTGCGCTGGCGCTTAGAATTCTTGCGGGGCCCATGTCTTCTCTAGCCCTTCGCCCCCACCCCCAGCCACTCTCTTCACACTCGGCCCCTGAGCAGATTCAGTGATCTGCCTGCCCCGCCCTGTCTGTTAGGCTGAACATTCAAATCCCCGGAATTTCGGGGACCTTCCCACTGCCTGCCCGCCTCACTACAGTTCTCCAGTCTTCTCCTCCCTCTCTCACACCTTCTCTCAGGTGATCTCCTCATTACTTAGTTCTCAGAGGAAAGACCACCAGCAGGGCCCTCCCTCCCATCCTGCTGTGAGGAGGCACCCTCCAGGCTCCTCTCCCCTGTTCCCAGCCATCACACTCACCGTTCCACAGTCTCCCATGCCGTGACCCTCCCACCCACTATAAGTTGCACCTGACCCTTTCCTCTGCTTCCCTTCACAGCAGAGCTCCTGAAAAGACGGTCTACTCACTGGTTCTAAGTCCTGTGCCCACACGCCCACGAACCCTCTTCCGCAGGCCTTTAGCTGACCCACCTCTACCCGACTGCTCTGTGAGGGCCTCCACGTTGTCCGACCCTGTGGCCAGTCGTCAGTCCCTTCCTGACATGCCAGCGTTGGACACCCCACTGTCCACTCACCCATCGCAGCCTCATTGGCCTCCCTTCCCCTCCTGGGACACTCCAGCCACACTCTGTCCCGGGGCCTTGGCTCTGCTCACCCTCTGTCTGGAGAACTTTTCCCCCAGGTAGCTGTGTGGCCCCCTCGTTGGTCTCCCAGTCTCCCACCTAGCACTGGTCACCATCTGCTGTACTGTCGTCCTGGTTGGCTCTGTTTGTGCACTCGTGTGCTCTCTCTCTGTCTCTCGCTCTCTCGCTCTCTCGCTCTCTCGCTCTCTCCCTCCCTCCCTCTCTCTCCCCATCTCCCTCCCACCCCACTAGAATCTAAGCGCTGTGAGGGCAGAGACTGTTTTGCCTCTTCCCTGCCACATCCCCAACGCCTAGAATTCTGTATATTTTATGAATGAATGAGTTCTACAGTGGGACCTTGTCCTGGGATTTTGTTGTTGATCAAAAACCCGTTGCCATTCGTTGATTCTGACTCATAGCAACCCCCTGTGACAGGGTAGGACTGCCCCGTAGGGTTTCCAAGGCTGTAAATCTTTTTTTTTTTTAGGCTGTAATTTTTTTTAAATCGTACTTTAGATGAAAGTTGACAGAACAAACTGGCTTCTCCTTAAACAGTTAGCACACATATCGTTTTATGACATTGGTTAACAATCCCACAACGTGTCAACACTCTCCCTTCTAGACCTTGGGTTCCCTATTACCAGCTTTCCTGTCCCCTCCTGCCTTCTAGTCCTTGTCCCTGGACTGTTGCACCCCATTAGTATCGTTTTGTTTTATGGGGCTGTCTAATCTTTGGCTGAAGGGTGAACCTTGGGAGTGACTTCATTACTGAGCTAAAAGGGTGTCTGGGGGCCATACTCTCAGGGTCTCTCCAGTCTCTGTCAGGCCAGTAAGTCTGGGCTTTTTTTTTTTCTAAGGCTGTAAATCGTTATGGAAGCAGACTGCCATATCTTTCTCCTGCAGAGCCACTGGTGGGTTCGAACCCCCACCTTTCGGTTAGCAGCCAAGCACTTAACCACTGTGCCACCAGGGCTCCTGTTGTTGTTGATAAGACAGGCCAGATACACAGCCCATCTGCTGTTGTGTCCCCAGCTTCTCCTTGGCCACTGGGCACAGTGTTGTTGCTGGGTTCATAAAGGCTGCAGTTGTGAGTCAAGAGGCACACACAGCAATAGGTGGGGCTCAAGTTGGGGCTGCTTTTGGGGAATTTGCAGTTATCAGAAAACATGGGAGAAATGTATGAAAGTCTGCAGAGTACTCACAGGTTATCTGCTTCATAAACATGGATACTTTATGAGCGTGTAAGTTAACAGCATGATTTCCTGACGCCGCTTTGCGGAGCAGAGGAAATGAATGGTGACGGCTGTCAGGGGCCTCTGCAATTGATCTGGGCTTCATATCTGTGTGACAACAGTTGTGTTTTACCAACAGATGTGCTGCTTAAAGTGCCCTGTGAGAGTGGCCTTCGTGGTTTTTCGCTTAACAGGGTGGAAATCTTAAGAATTGATTACGGAAACCAAAAGTAACGAAACGCGCTGCTGTCTAGTCGATTCCGACTCACAGCGCCCCTACAGGACAGAGTAGAACTGCCCCATAGCGTTTCCAAGGAGCGCCTGGTGGATTCCAACTGCCGACCTTTTGGTTATAGCTGTAGCTCTTAACGACTACGCCACCAGGGTTTCTGATTATGGAAGAGGCTAATAATGCCTGCCTCATCTCCGGTCCCGTGCGACTGACCGCTTTCTCCTTTGTACCCTCGCTAGACCTTCTCCAGACAGCTCTGCTAGCCCCTCTAGCCAGACAGTGGTTTGGGGCATGCTGCTCTTTCCCTGATGGGGCACAAGCTTCTTGAGCACAGAGACCTCGGCTGACTGCTCCGGTGCTCCCCCTCATAGTATAGCCCCTGGCTGTCCTTAGGTGCCCAGTGGCTGCTGCAGTAAGGAGGGAGCAGTGGGCCGAGTCCCCCTGGGTCTCTGAGGGAAGTGGAAGGGCCAGTGTTGCTCCTGGCATCTGGTCATGGCACGTGTGCAGGCCTGGTGTCTGTTGGCCAGTCTCGTTCCATAGGCTTGTTGTGCTTGCTTCACTGCTTGGTGGGCCTGTTAGGTTCCTGGAGGTGCCGGAACAGAGGGCCACACACCGGGTGACTTAAAACAACAGAAGCTTATTCTTACACAGTTCTGGAGGCCAGAAGTCCAAGATCAAGATGTCTCAGGGCCATGCTCCCTCCGAAGGCTCTAGGGGAGAATCTGTGCCAGGCCTTTCTCTCAGCTTCTGGTGTCGCAAGCGATCCTTGGCTGGTAGACACATCACTGCAGTCTCTGCTTCCATCGTCACACAGCGTGTGTGTGTGTTGTGTCTCTTCTGCTCGTTTTATAAGGACACCAGTCTTACTGAAGTAAGGGCCCATTCTGCTCCAGTATGACCTCAGGTTAACTTACTACGTCCGCAACGACGCTACTTCCACCCAAGGTCACGTTCTGAGTTTTGGGGAAGGACGTGTACTTTGGGAAAACACGTTCAACCCAGTGTCCTGGGTATAGTTTGGGGTAGAGCGTTTTCTGTTCTCCGGCTAATCAAACTTTCTGAGTCTCAGCAAGTCAAATAATGTGTTTCTGTTCTGGTCAGGTTATGACATGTACAGCCGTAAAGGAAGTGACTTGTCATGTGCTATGATAGGAGATGGTGTGTTGGGTAATTTCTTTCTTTTTTTGTTAATTAACTTTCTATGTTTCTGCAGTGAGGTGAGTTTTTTTTTTGAATAAATAATACTGGGAGCTTATGACATAGAAGGCACATGTGTTGCAGTTAGTGTATTGGGAATTATCTGGATTTGTTTTTGCCTCTTGAATTCGTTTATAACCATTCAAAGACTGCTTTTTTAGCCATTGGAACGAGATGAAGAATCTCAGAATGTATCTCGTCATTTTTCAGTAGCTTGAGTTGCGGTGATTGTCTAAGTCTCACAGCAGGTATGTCGTGGACATTTTGTTGTGTTTTGACTTCCAGCCATCTTGATAGCTTCCGCTTAAGAAAGCCCCGACGGGGTTGAGGCTAGCAGTGCGTTTTTCTCTCATGTGACGTGACGTCTGGAGGTAGCTGACCGTGGCCGCTGCAGTGGCCCCATAAGGATCCAGGAGCAATGGCTCCTCTCTCCCTTCGCTCCGTCATCCTTGGTGTGTGCCTGCCATCCTCAAGGCTGCCTCGGGGTTGGGCACTTGCCAGCCCAGCCCTCCAGGCGCATTCAACAAGTCCTGGTTTACTGGGGGACAAACAGCCCCAACACCTCAGGGACAAGAGCAGCAGTTAGCCGCAAGGTGGGGTTCAGATATGTTCTCAAGCCTGTCATTCGAGGACCCAGGCTGGAGCAGCAGCTACCAGGGACAGTCTCTACTTGGCAGAGGCCAGGAGCCCCTCTGCTGGGTACTGGCACACTGTCACTTCCTCCCCCATCCTAGCAATTGAAGCAGGACATGTGAGCAAGCCCAGAGCCAGGGGCAGGGTGTGTGCCCTGCCCCCAGTGAAGGGGCAGGAACAGCCGGGAGTGGAGACTGATAAGCAAATGACACCCTTTGCCGCCATCTTGTTGGTCAGACTGTCGTCACCCGGCTGTGCTTGGAGGCTGGGAAATACTGTGTTTTAGCCAAGCACAGACTCCTTTTAGTACGGAGATGGAGAGCCTGGATTATGAGTAGGCTGCCAGCTGTGCCGGCCCCGGGAGAACAGGTATGGGATGGGGATGAGACTTGGGTTTGGCCAAACCCATGGGGACTTTGACACTTGAGGGACAGTGAGGGCTTGGTAATGGTAATGACAACGGAGACAGTAAGCCAGCAGTAGTAGCTGTGTCCAGTGGTGAAGTGGCGCTGGCCCCCAGAGTGGGTGTCCAACCAGACGGCCACTTTGTGTACTAGCTTGGCTATGTTTTCAGTTGTGTAGCTGCGTTTCTGAGCCTAGTTCTCTAGTCTTCTCTCCCTTTTCAGATCTGCTACCAAAGAATTCCTTTGTGATTGGAGTTAGCCACCATTGGTTTCTGTTGATTGTGACCAAGGACTCTTAACAAAACGTGTGGGTGTGGGCCACGTAAAAACATGCTTTGATAATGTGCTCTCAAGTGGAGTGACCCGAGTGTAGGCTTTTCAAGCCATGTGGCCTTGGGATTCAATCCTGAGTCTTTCATCTGCTCGCTGGTGACCTCAGCGTTGTGGTCTGTTAAGCACTGCTTTCGTATGTTGCTGAACGTTTAACGAGATCGAGATCGTATGTAAAACAATGATTGTTAGTTGTTGGGAATACCTCGGGAAAATGGCCTGGTCCAAGCTTCTTGATTGGATGTACGTCCTTTTGGTAATGGAGTAGTAATTTAGGAGCACTGGTTGCAACTCAGGGCCCTTCTGGAAAGGGGGTGAGGAAGGAGGCCTTAGTCAAAGCACAGTGCTCGGCACACTGAGGCCGCTGAGCAGATGTTTGTTGAATGGATGAATGCTGAGGTGGTAACGTCATGGAACCCGGAAGAGGGAACTGTTTCGGTTAGAAAAACAGTTCAGCTGTAGGCCACCGTCCACTGCTCATTCTAGGCTTCGTGTTTCTACAAGGAAAGATGGAAACGCCTCTGACGTGGGCGACGGGTACAGTTATCTGGGGCTTATTCAGTAGAATTTATCGCAAGTGCACTTGGTCACATTTTTGATTTCCTTCTCAGTCTAGACTTGAATGCAAAAGTTTTGATTGTTGCTAACTTACCAGTAGTCACCACTGCTGAACGAAGGACATGAACAGGAAGTTCATAGAAGGAGATCCGGGTGGCTAATGAAGATATGAAAAAAAAGTTCTGCCTCTGTGGTAATCAAAGAGATGCAAATGAAAACAAAAAAGATGCCCTGTCACCTTCCAAACTAGGGGAGATTAAAAGGGAAAAGAGGAAGAGAAAGAAAAGATCCGGCGTGGCCAGGGGTCAGAGCTGCCCTCCGCCCGCTCCCCATGCCGCTGTCCAGCCTCCGCGCCACAGCTGAGTCAGGCACGTTTGGGTTTAGTTTTGAACATGTACCAACTCGAGTGACAGCTCATCTTAGTGTCCCTGCTGCCCTGCTCTCCCAGCCCCCGGGCCCCTCTGCCGGGGACCGCTGTGGCCAGATTCTTGGGCGCAGACTCGGAGATGCTGTGGGCGCTTAAACAGCTAAACTGACCTTCATTTTCCTCAGCTGCTTGTATCAGTGTGGAGGAGGTATGTTTGTCTAAGAATTTGCCCGTTTTGTCTAAGTTATTAATTTATTGGCACATAGTTGTTCGTATCATCATCTTTTTCACCTCTGCAGCGTCTGTATCTGTCCCCTTTTTCATTCCTAGTACTGTTTATTTGCCCGCCTTCCTTTTCCCTCTGTCAGTCTTGCTAGGAGTCTCTCGGCTTTATTAGTCGTTCAGAGAGCAAGCTGTTCTGTATTACTGTGCGTTTGTTTTCTAGTTCATTAATTTCTGCCTTTATCATTTCTTCTACTTCCTTGAGGTGCATTTTTTGTCTTTCTAACGTCTTAAAATGTAAACTTAGCTGATTGATTTCAAGCCAGCCTTCTTTTCAAATGTAAGCATTTAAGGCTGACCCTCTGGTATTCCTGCAACTGAATCCAGCAAGTTTTGACGTATAGTCTTGTTGCTTTAATTCAGTTCTAAAGGTTTTTAAACTTTCTTTATGATTCTTTCTTTGACTCACAAATTGTGTAGATTTTTTTTTCATTTCCATGCGGATTGGTTTTGTTTTCCCTAGTTACTTTTTTAAAAAAATCCAATTCTAACTGCACTGTGGTCAGAGAACTTGGTCTGTTGAGAAGGACTTTGTGACCTGGTCCACGATCTGTGTTGATACCCGTCCTGCGACTGCTGAGACAGGGCATGTGGCCTCCAGTTGTTACCTCAGTCCTCGTAATTGTGTGGTGAACACATCTGTATTCTTGCTGCAGTTTTGTCTACTTGGTTTGTGAATCGCTGGGGAACGTGTGTTAAAATCTGCTGTGAGCTTATAAAGACAATGCTCTGCATTCTACCTTGGTGAGTAGTGTCTGGGGTCTTAAAAGCCTGTGAGCAGCCATCTAAGATACTCCACTGGTCTCATCCCTTCGGGAGCAAG